CCAGTGCACACACTCACACACAAAGGCTTCCATGAATCCTGACCACACAGCCTCTTTGCAGTGCTTTTTGAGCCTACGAGACTCCAACTGGATAAAAGTGGAGTTGAGAGGCCTGGGGATGTAGCTTAGTTGGTAGAAAATTTGCCTACCATTTATGAAGCTCTGGATTCCATCCCCAACACTTTTTGAAACAGGGTCTCCCTGTAGCCCCAGCTGGCCTGGAACTCACTATGTAGACCAGGCTGGCCTTGAACTCACAAAGGTCCACCTGCCTCTGCCTCACAAGTGCTGGGATTAAAGGCGTGCGCCACCATGCCCAGCCTGCTCCCCACCCCCGCAAAAAAAATCTTAAAAACAAAAAAATTGACGTCTTCCACAGAGAACAATGTATGTAAATTACACTTTTTGTACCAGAGATCATAGAAAGGCTAAGGATGTGGCTCAGTTGGTAAAGTGTACAAAGTACAGCACTCTGGAGGTGGAGGCAGGAGGATCAGAAGTTCAAGATCTTTCTCAGCTACATATATATAATGAGTTCAAGGCCAGCCTGGGCTATATGAACCCCCATCTCAGAATGAAAAATAAAATAAAATAGTGGGGTTGAGGACAGTTATTGCCATGTCCGTGGAGAAGAAAGGGCGCCCTGGTCTGCAAGCAGCAGCCTGGGACTGGCGTCCTCAAGACCCTCTTCTGAACCTTCAGGCAGGCACAAAGGCTCATCCTGCTGGCCCTGGGGTATCTGTTCGCTCGGAGTTTAGTCTGCTCATGGTTTGCCGAGGGCAGTACCTTTGAGCTCAGCTCTGCCTGATAAGAGAGCAGGAATCTCAGCTCTGGTCCTGGGTTTGGGTATCAGGACAACCTCCCACTTCCTGCTCCAAGGCACAATGGAGAGTCTTAGAACACCTAAGCTAATATGCATATATACTGGTGTTTGCCCAAGCTTCAGCTCAGCAGGCTTGGCTGGGGCCACCACAATAAGCCATTGTTGTGGGAAAGAGACCAACCACTGCCTATAGAGGCCAGGGTGCCTGTGTCATTTCCAAGTACTTCCTGCTGTGTGTGCACACACAGCGGGGTGCGGTCCACCGAGATCCCAGGGTGTTACCTTCCACCCTTGACACTGAGCAGAGCCAGACCCCCTCGTCCTCAAAGCTAGGCCAGGGCAGGAGACACCTGGTAGGCACTACACACCCTGAGGGTAGCATTCCTCCACTCCAGAACACTGGCAGTCAGTGAGAACAGGCTCATGTCCCACAGGGGTCTTCCACTCTGCCTGTCAGGGGGCAGTACATCCCAGTGTTATCTTGAGGCAGGGAGAGTGGGAGGGGTGTGTAGTTGTCTCTGCTTTGAACTTACAACCCTGTCCAGCAGGGAGGATTGACACTATAAAACAGGTGGAGAAATTGAGGCTTGGTGAATTAACTTGCCCAGAGCTGTAGGGCTGCTGCATGGACCCAGCATCTCAGCAGGTCCAAGGTGTGACCTGCCCAGAACCAAATACTCCTCCCCTCTGGCCTCTGGCCCTGCTGCTCTATAAGCAGTGAGGGAGGCCCAGGGCCTCCCTTTTGCCAAGTTCTTGGAGTTCCCTCCCATGCACCAGGCATTCACCACAGATGTTAGGAACAAGAGCAGCCAGTTGACTTCATAGAGTTGGACAAGCCCTGAGGCTGACTGAGTCAGAGCCACCTATGGGGAGGGCAAAAAGGCCCCAGGGCTGCTGCCATGCCTCTGCTAACTTCAGTTCACTTCCCACAGACCCCAAGAAGCCTTCTCAAGGGAGGAGGAAACTGAAGGAGCCCCTGACAGCAGCAGAGGGGCCCAGAAGCCCAAGGGACACTGAGGACGGCAGCATGTCCCCAGCAACAGCCGTGGGAGACTTAGCCCATTAGGCTAAGGGGTCCTGCACTTGCTCAGAAATGGCTCCATGTCACAGTCAGGTGACACAGATCAAACCACCCAACCATCAGACAGCTTGGCATAGTTGGTGCACCCAGGCCTGCGCTATCGAGAGGAGCTGGTGAGGCCCAATTCAGGCCTCTGGGCAGCATCACCAAAAAAGCCTGTTGCACCCAGCCATGCAAGGTGTTGGGACAACACTGGGGTGGGGGAGTATGGACTGTTCAGTCTCCAGCCCAGTCCCACCCTTGCTGCCCTTTTTTGGCAACACCCCCACCTCCAGATGCAACTGGAAGGTCCCAGACTCTGCAAACTCCTCCCCACCAGGCTTTCGTGTTCCGGTGATGGTCTCGGGCGGCCCCTTGTGGAATCTGGGCAAATGCATCCAGTAAGGAGGAGCTGGTGTACTAGATGCAGGCTAAAACAGAGCCTCCAGGGAGCTCAGAGGATAACCAGGTGAAGGACAATGTGTACAGCCGGCAGGTCTGGGGTAATCAGCCTCCATCCATTTGGGCAGGTGACCCAAGAGGAGCTCACTGCCACCAGGGACAGGAGGGCAGAGCAGAACTCTGTGCTCTGCAGAGCCCCTGCCCACTGACATACCTGATGCTGGGGAGAGGGATGTCCTGGTGTCTCTGAGCTTCAAAACCAGTCAGGCCCCTGCATCCTGAGGTGTTCAAGAAAGTCCTAAGGGAAATTCCTCTGCATATGAAGTTTGATGACTACCACTTTGAGGGCAAAGATACACACTAAGGATTCAACTAGGTACGGGGCAGGGCCAAGGGGTCTGGTGTGGGAAGAGATACAGGTTGGAGAAAATGCCTAGGGAGGTCAAGGAAGATGGCGTCTGAAAACTAAATTTGGGTTTTAAGGGGTGAATAAGAGTGTTTCGAGTAGGCAAAGTACCTAGGATGCTCTCCAGGGCATCTAGGCACCTGCTAAGAGGCCAGAGTTGAGTGAGGAAGACTTGGACCAGTCAAGCCAGGTAGAAGGGACCATAGCATCAAGGGGAGCTGTGGATGCACTTAGCTTGAAATCTGAAATTCCCAGGACTGGGACAGTTGTCACTGAGGTTCAATAAGCCTGATGAGGGACACCAGGCAGAACAGAGGGACTGGTTTCCAAGGGGAAGTCAGAAGGCACACATGTGTGCTCACCCAGTTGTTAAAGGTTGCTTGGATCGTTTCCAAAACAAAATAAAACCCGAGCTGTATGCTCTGTCCAACCTCCTGGCCAGGTTTGACCCTTGGCTACCCACCTGTAACCTGGGGAATGAGGGAACACACCACAATACCACACCCAGGAAGAGGCCAGTTTCCTTCCTTCCTTAGCAGCAGGCTGGTCTAGCACCAGCTCCCCACCCAGCAAGCTGGAGTGGGCATGGATCCCAGGGCACTCTGCTGAGGACACGCACCTCCTCACCACCCTCATCTGATGGCAACTTCTGTTGGCTACCAGCTTGTAGTCCCCTTCCTGTCAGGAACTACTTACATTACCTGTAAGGACCTAGAGCCACCACCCCCCTACATTACCAGCAAGGACCTTGATCTGCCACAGCCCAGGCCCAGTACTACAGTGTCTCCCCGCCCCCCACCAAGACAACCTACCCACAAAACTAGCAACCTCATGCTACAACGGCCAAAACTCAGAAAGGCAAGTCACTCCTGTGGTCACCCACAGGGAATAGCCACTAATGGCAGCCTGAGTCTGGAGAGCACCATTGGTCAGTAAACACCGTGAGCACCCTCGATGCTCAGTTCTCCCCACTCACAGAAATGACAGTCCCTGGGAGAGCCCACCATGTACTTGGACCGAGCCCTACATTCTACAGAACAGGAAAACTGCCCACCTGCCCGCCAGGGCCTGGCAGAGCTTGGAAAAGGCAGGAGGAGAAGAGAGGGTAGGTACTAGCCTACCTCTGCTGGGGATGGAGGGAGAATGCCAAGGGGAGAAGGGGGAGGGGCCTGACAGGGTCAGCCACCCGATCCCCGGAAGCAGGAAGGGAGCTAGTAGTAAGGACTCACAGACTACGATATCTGCTCCTACTGCTGGACTACCTTGGTGCTCCCTTGTGCCCCTTCCATGACCCACCAGACACACCCTAAGATCCCACTTTAAAGACAAGCCGCTCACAGGCTGAGATCTGGGCAGAGGAGATGGTGGGCACAGGCCTCAGCAACTCCCCCCAGCCCAGGTGCCCAGCGGGGAAGTCTCCAGGATGCAGAGCGGAAACGGGCCTGGCACCATGCAGACTCAAGGTCACCTCTCTCCTGGGGCTGAGGCAGCCCAGGAAGGTGCCAGGTGTCCTCAGACCCTCGGTCTCTTCTGCAGTGCAGGGAGAGCAGGCGGCCCCGCCGGCCCAGTCCGAAAACTGAGCACCGATGGGTGCCCTGGGTGGGAAGCTGAGAGGAAGCTCAGCTGAGGACACAGCCTGGAAGGGGAAGCGCGCCGTGCCTGGCCCACACCCTGGGTCCGCAGCCCACAGTGAGCTGGACACACACCGCGGCTTGGCCAGGGAACGGGGCGCTGGGGCCCTGCAGTCTCCGCGGCTGTACCAAGCGCACAGAGGACGCATCCGGACCACCTCTAGGACCCAGGGCCGCGCTGGGCTTGGCACCCGGAGCCTCGCTAGCCAATGGACGGGCTCCATTGTGCCTCATTTGCATGTAGGCGCGTCGCGGCCAATGGGCAGGAGCGGTGGGGCTATATTTGCATGCGGGCGCGCCTCGGCCAATGGGCGGGCGTGACGGAGGCACATTTGCATGCG